ATTCAAGTAATACTACTAATACCTTTAGTCTCTGCTATCTTTCTTTTCTGCTGTTTTCTTTTCCCTTCCCTTCCCTACTTCACCCCCTCCCCTCCCCACAACTGCTCTTTTTGAACATATAGATGACATGGGTTCAACAAAACCTCTGCTCCAAACAGCATCAACTATCTTTCCCGAATTCGAATATGGCTTGATAAATAATTTTATCACCACCAAGAGCAGGGAGCAGAAGAAAACTGAGAAAAGAAAGAGACCATACAGGGTACTGCACTTCAAAAGATGTGTTCAAGGAAAGTGAAGTGAAGGGTTTTCTTAAACATCTCTGGGTCAACCCCCCAGAGGGGAGATTCTATGCTCCAGGATAAAACTAGCCCAATACTCCATTGGGGGTGGAGGATGGGGGAGAGAGAGAGATGAATAAACTTGGGAAGAACTAGCAGTACAGCCAACTGACTGCACTGCAACATAAAAGTGAAACTCAAAGTTAAAAGTGGAAAAAACAAAATAAAAAAAAAAGCAACCAAAACATAGGTCCGGCTTAGACGGGTTCTATCCCTTCCTCTCTTTGCAGTCCTAATCCATTACCCCCATCCATCACCTCTCCTATCCCATCCCATCTCATCTCATCTCATCTCATCTCATACCCCCAATCCCCCCAACCCCAAAGATGCCACTAACGTCTCTTGAGTGTGCTCTCCGGCTTACCAACCCATCTTCTCAAGAGAGAGAGAGAGCTAGCAGTGTCTCTTTTATTAATCCAGAAGCATTACAACCAAATCCAATCCAATCCAATCCACCTTCAGGACAAGACGGGAGAGTGAAGACTGGCTACTTACTTCATGAAACTCTTCTGAACCTCGGAAATCCGAAATGTGCTAGCCAAAGAGAGCTGTTCAAGTAAAAAGAAATGAGAAAAGACGGCTGTCATTTGCTGCACTGCCAGAGAAGAGCACAACCCAAGCCGACCAAATCCAGCAAGATATAACCACCAGATTACCTCAATAAGGAATAATTAAATATCCTTTAAATGTGGCTAACCAGAGAAACAATCGTATTCCAAATTATTTCTCTAGGTTTCAATGGACAGCTGGGCCAACAGCATACTACTTCACGAGACACTGAACTACACATTTGCGGAAGAACACATCTGTGGTCAGAAAGACATGTTAATGTTACTGAAAACTCCCATACAACTAGGCTCTTTAAAAGTTTCGGATTCGAACAAGGATATCAACCCATATGGTTAGCTGCAAACTGTAAGCTACAAAGACAAAGACAAAGCCAAAGCCAAAGTGAAAAAAGCATCTGCCCTCTTGCTCCGGTATCCAATCCAATGCATATATCAACATCATCATCATCTTTATCATCGTCAACCTCAAGAGAAAACTCAGAATACATCAGTTCTCACTTGTTCTAGTCTGCTCTACTCAACTCAAGCTTGGCCCTGGTCTTAGTCTTAGTCTTAGTCTTCAAGACTGAAAAATTTTTCAGTTTAGTTTAGCTTAGTTTAGTTAACTTAGTTGACCTTAGTTGACCTTAGTTTGCCTGTTTCTTTGTTTGGTATTTGGTATATTTGAGGGGTGAATACGTTTAATCGAAGAATAATATAACCTTTTCCCAAGAACTATTCATTTCTTTCCTTCTTTCTGTATTTGTTTGTTTGTTTGTTTGTTTGTTTGTTTGTTTTTGTTTTTACGTTAACGGTGTTTGCTAATTACAGAAATTTCATTAAATCACCTAATTGATAGATATATTGAAACTTCTCTTTTTTCTTCTTCTTCCTCTTCTTCTTTTGGGCATTTTAATCGCAATAGCTGAATAAAGTTTGTAGGACAAGGTCAGCATCTCCTCTAAAATTTAATCAATTCATTAATTGGTTTAACTAATTTCGAAATTTCAAGGATAGTATAGTAAGACCTACCTGTCTGCCCCCCAAAATTTAAACTAAAATATAGTAAAATACAATTAAGAAAAAAGAAGTGTGAGGGACAAGAGAAGGTTCTTGATAGTAAAATAAGTAATAATACTACTAATTAATTTAAGAAAGGAAAAAATAAAAAAAAAAAATTTTCTTTTAGAGAAAGGTCAAGTTTTATTACAGAGTATCTAAGCATTAAGACAAATTTATCAGTACATTCATCGACGATTTTAATAAAGATTGATTGTGGGCAGATTATTAGATTAATTTGAAAAAATAAATCTTATTTAAACCTGGACTAATCCTAAAATTAAGAACACTAAAATCGATTTCCATTGCTCCTTTACAACTAAATTGTATTCGCTTTTAAACTTATACTATTCTTTTACTATATTTTATCTGCTAGCAATACAGTATCAACAACAATAATAATATCCGATCATACAGTAGATAGAAATTATTATTGACGATAATAATATACGATAATCTTTAATAATACTAATACTAATAATAATCACTAATAATAATAATCTAGTATTTTATTATAAGATTGCATTCATTTATCGTAATTATTAAGATATAAACGACGACATGAAACCTTCAAATCAAGATGAGAGTGTAAAGGACTCGGCCAATAACAACAATGAAGAAAAAGTAAGAGATCAAAATCAAAGCTCAGCCAATCACCATCATCATAATAGCAACCATGAAAATTTCGATTATGAAAGACAACAAGAGTATAATTACCAATATTCAAACTTAGCAACTACTTATATACCACAATACACAATTGATGGTTCATACCCAATTCAAGAAGTTGTTCCAAATACCCAAATGGCAATGTCTGGTGCCGACTCAGCATTCAACAGGGATGGTGATAATGCATCCAATCTAAGGCAGAGAGCAAAGACTCCAGTTGCTTCAAATGTCTTGGATGTCGGTGATTTTTACAGAAATGCAGACGATGGTCAAGCAAATACAAATCAACAAGGTGAAGGTAATGGATATGATGATTTTTCCCCAGATCCAAGAAACGTACCACTAATGGTTAAACCAAAAACTTTATACCAAAATCCTCAAACTCCTACCGTTTTACCTTCCACTTACCATCCAATCAACAGATGGTCTTCTATTAAGCACACTTACTTAAAGGAATTCTTAGCTGAATTCTTGGGTACTATGTTCTTGGTCATCTTTGGTGACGCTGTTAGTGCTCAAGTTGGTTTAGGTGCTAAGGCCCAACAAGATCAATTCGCAAAGACTTTAGCCAATCTAGAAGCTGCTGGTATCATCACAAGTGATCAAATTCAAATCTTTACTTCTTTTGAAGACATTATCAACTCTCAAGGTGCTGGTACTTTTGACGCCATTCCATTCGGTTGGGCAGCAGCAGTTGTAATGGGTTATTTCGCCGCTGGTGGTAGTGCTATTTCTGGTGCCCATTTAAATCCTGCTGTCACCGTATCTAACTTTATCTACAGAGGTTTGCCATTAAAGAAGGTCCCAATTTACATCGCTGGTCAACTATTAGGTGGTTTCTTAGGTGGTTTAATTGTCTTTGCATACTATAAGAAGGTTATTAAGGAAACATTCCCAGATTGGAGATCTAACCAAAGTGTTGCATCCATGTTCTGTACTTTCCCTCAAGCTTATTTGTCTACCGCTAGACAAGTTGTATCTGAATTTGTCAACACTGCTATGTTCCAAGCTTCCTTGTTTGCATTAACTGATCCTTACACAAGTTTGTCCACTGATATTTTCCCTGTTATGTTATTCTTCTTAATTTACATCTTAAATGCTTCTATGTCGTACCAAACTGCCTGTGCTATTAATTTGGCGAGAGATATGGGTCCAAGATTGGCTATCTATGTCGTTGGTTTCAAGAGAGCCTTAATTTGGGATTTCCACCATCATTACTTCTGGGTTCCAATGATTGTTCCATTCATTGGTGCTACTTTTGGTGGTTTGGTTTACGATATTTGTATCTATCAAGGTCATGAATCTCCAGTTAACTGGCCATTAAGTATATACAAGGAGAAGTTCTTGAGAACATGGCACAGAAGACCTGGCTGGAAGGCTAGAAGCAGAGAAAGAGCTACATCTGAATTGAGTGATTTCTCATACAATGATAATGACAGCCAAATTGGTGATCAAAAGTTGAAACCAGCTAGAACCAGAACTAAGTCTAACGGTTCTTCAGCTGATGACTCTAAACAAAAGTCAGTTCAATTCAGACCTGTTCAAAGAGGTAAGGGTTACGGTAATGGTGTTCCAACTATCCTTGAAGAAGGTGACTCTATTGAAACCGCTTCATTGGGTGGTGCTTCTCATGCATCTGTGATGTTAACTGATGGTTCTTCCTCACCAGAAACCGTCAAAGATTCTAATGAAAAAAACTAATCGGTATATAATTAAATAATTTAAGCAACTTTTAATCAGTAACATTATATTCATTTCATTATGTATGGTCTTGTATATTCGATGTATTTAATGTATATATATATCCTAATTTATGTGTTGAAAGATTGATTGTTATATGTAGTATATAGAAAGTGACTTCAGATTATATTTCAAACTGAGGATTAATCAGAGTTCTGTTAGGTGTTGACCAATTGGACTACCCATCATGAAGTACATTTTTATGATTCCAGGCTTCCTGTTCCCCCGTTATTTTTTCTTTATTTATTTCTGAGATCTCAAAGCAAGTATGATTTGATATAACTTTTGATATCCTTATTTATATATAACTAATATTTTCTATTTACTCATGACAAACTAAATTTAATCTACCAAGTGAAGAACAATATCAAAAAACATATTGTTATCACTGAGGACAAAATAAGCGCATTTTTCCTTCTTCTTGTATTAATCTTGGCAATCAATTGATTTAAACCTGGTATTCTCTGGATAGTTTGTAGCATTCTATTATTTGCACTATGAAGTAAATTACTCTGACTGTTGAATTGATCTCTTGTCTCTAAAGCTTGAGCAATCAATCTATCAACCAAATTATGTGATTGATCAACTCTTCTAGCTTCATTTTGAATATACTCATCTTCATTTGTATCCAAAAATTTCTGCTGCTCTATATCATTCTTAACACTAAACAGCAGGTTCAATCTATTACGTTCTTGTTGAATTGAAGATCTTATATTCCTAAAATTTTTCCAATGATCTTGCAAAATCTCAGCATGTCTTGATAATTGTGTTAACTTTGTTGTAGAAATATCGTTATTATCATTACAAATATTCCTTAATTTTTCAACAACATCTTGGGTCCTCTGCAATACATTTTCAATTTGAACATCCAACTTCTTTTCTTGACCTGTTGCCTCAGAACTAGTAGTTTGGGCAAACGATGAATATTTTGATAATAAGCTATCAGCTTTTGATTCTAAAGAAATTACTTCACTCCTTATAGTAACAAATGAAGGACCTTTGGACATCTTGCTCTTAATACTGACCAACACACTCAGATCACTTGAACTATACTGATCTGTACTAATAATATAAACCTCTTTCTTAATCTCAAGTTGTTCAACTTTGTTTTAAATGGTCTTTCTTGTCAACTTCCCTTTTTAATTTCATTATTTTATTACGTACGCTATAATGAAAAATTCAACAATATTTAAGCCTAAATATCATTAGTTCATAAGAGAATATATATTCATATTAATGGTAACTTAATAAATAAATTAATCATTTAATAAATAAATAAATAAATAAATAAATAAATAAATAAATAACTAGATAGATAGAGTAGATGATAATAATAATAATATTTTAGAAGGATACAGTGAAATAAGTGGAATAGACAACTGTTGATTTATCATTCTTTTTTTTTTATGTTGAAACCATAAATTTTAAGAAGGAATAGATATTATTAAATGGATAGAACAATCTTGAGGATATTCAGATCGATGTAAAAATTCAGTGAATTCAAAAACTTAAGTAATGTCATATCAATATCAGTTGAATTACGGCTTTTTGTATTCCTTATAAGTTCAAATTTGTCATTATCGTTGATGTGTTTCTTAGTTCAACTAAAAAGGAATAAAAAATATTGAATATTATTAATACTTTGATGATTATTCAAAAGCCAATGATTTCTTAATTTCGGCAATTGCTTTACCTGGGTTCAAACCCTTTGGACAGGTCTTTGTACAGTTCATGATGGTATGACATCTGTATAAGGACATTGAGTTTTCCAACATTTCCTTTCTGATGTGAGAAGCTTGATCTCTTGAATCAATCAACCAACGATAAGCTTGCATCAATACAGCTGGACCTAAATATTCTTCTTGATTCCACCAGTAGGAAGGACAAGAAGTTGAACAACATGCACATAAAATACATTCATACAAGCCATCCAATTTCTTACGGTCTTCAATACTTTGTAAGACCTCTTTACCATCCTCAGGGAAAGATTTTCTTTGTAAATATGGTTGGATAGACTTGTATTGTTTGTAAAAATTGGTCAAATCTGGAACCAAGTCCTTAACAACGTACATATGAGGTAATGGGTAAATTTTTAAGTCTTTTGTATTATCTTGATCAATTTTACATAGACAGGCTAATGTATTACTACCACCGATGTTCATTGCACAAGAACCACAAATACCTTCTCTACATGATCTTCTGAAAGTCAAAGTACCATCTTGTTCATTTTTAATCTTGATCAGAGCATCTAAAACCATTGGACCACAATCGTTTAAATCAACTTGATAGTTTTGTAAAACAGGTTTTACGCTAGGAGTATCAGGATTCCATCTATAAATTTTAAAAGATTTCATCCTTGCAGTGTGTTCAACACCACTGGCTAATCCTCTTTTTGTAACCAAACCAACCAAACTCTTGTACATCATCTTACTCTTTAATAATAATAGAAAATTGGGAATTTTTTTCCTTAATAAATTAATTAATTATCAACTTAATTAGTTCCTTATTCTTTAGAAATTCGTAATTATCCAAATATTACAACCCTCAGTTTAGAATAACTAAATTAAACCAACCAAATTTAGAATAAACCTTGCTTCTATGTCTAATCTAGTCTCTTTCCAGGCAAATTCAAATAAACCACAACTTCTTTGTTAAGTTCAATCTAAATCCAAATCAAACCTGAATAGTCAATAGTACTATAACAAATATTTGAATAAAAAAACAGATTCATCTTCTTTATATGATGATTAAAATTTAAATTGTAACAGCCAGTATCAATCAATATCCATCAGTTAATGATTAAATAACGTAACCTTGTCCTATCCATCTACATTGCATATCAACCTTGTGCTTCTGTCTGCTGTCATAACCATTGCTTGCTCTCTCCCATATTAGAACAACTTTCTCCCTTTCCATTTCCCATTGGTTCGACTTAACGGTGGAACGTTATAGGACTACGATCACGTGATGGCCGAAATAGCCAGGGGTCATCAAAAAGGAACGGTAAGCAATGATGAATCAATCCAATGAGGTAGAGAACGAATCATAACACAAGGTTGTAGCGTAGTTTTGACATGACATTTACATTATGGGATTAAATCAATAATTCAGTAATTCAATCAACTGTAATGATAAAAAAAGACTAATCATGTCCATTAAACGGGAATTGATTAAATTTTATTATGGATGAGTTGAGTGCGTTTTTATTCGATAGAATTTCAATTGTTTTCCTGCCTTGTTGAGGTATAAAAATCTTATTAACAATGCGTTTGTGACTTGATTTTGACTCTTGAACAACCTTACCATTTTTATTATTATTTTACTTCTTATTCACTCTACCTACCTTTTTTTCCGTCTAGTTTTGAAATATATCCATTTTAATTTATTCTATTTTATTTTATTTTATTTGAATTTTTCTTCCTGACTCTACTGTAGGATTATATCAGAATTAAATCATCATAATGTTGCTTCACAATACTTGTTGTATTCAGTAACTGCAATTGCAATATTCTTATACACATGTTTTCTTTCAATCGGGTCTTGTATTGGAATAAAATATTCTGCCTGTGATTTCAATTTTATATAGATACCTGTCTTTTCAAGAACAATCCCTTGGATCTCTTGATATGCTGTTGCCCACATAGCTTCTTCACTAGCAATACGTACTTCAACTATGTGTTCCATAGATACCGCAACTGCTAATTCTCTTCCTGGAAGTACTACGTGTGTCAAATAATGATCTGACATGTATAGACCACCGTTACAACTCTTTAACCAATATTGTCCTTGTGATTCTCTGAGATTATATGGTTTAATAATTTGATCATGTCCAATGTAGCGTGCCATACGTACTCTATAAGGGATCGAGGTATCTAAAACTGTTGTAGTACTTTTGACTCCTTGACTCAAATTGTTTGTTAGATCAAGTATACCAATAGCAGTCTTCGTTGGTAATCCAAATATACCTTTACCTAATCCTTTGATAAACCCTGCTGCACCTTCCTTTTGTGCACCTTTGTAAGGATCCAAGGCCATACCAGATATACCGCTACCTATCGTATTAGCAAAAGATTGAGCTGATGTGGCTAGTACATTACGACTGTTATTATTGATTCGTTGCTGCAATCTACGCGATTCTTGAAATTCTGAATCTTGTGTTACTGACAGACCCTTGGCAACAGATCCAGTGAATTTAGCCATACTATCAGATAGACCAAAAACAGTTTTTTTAGCAAAGCTTAAACCACCTTTGGCCAAATAAATCCCAATCTCTCCTGGCCTATCATTCATCATATAACCTTTATATGGTTCGTAGAATATATCCCACACACCTGAACTAATCGTATTAAATAGACCTACAGGATTACCTAAGAAATCAGCTGAACCCAATATCTTGTGCAATTGATATACAAATTGTTGTCCATAATGTGTTTTGATTGAATTTATCAAAGTAGATACTGGTACTCTTAGGTTATCCATATATAAAGAGTTCATTCTAATTGGAGCATCATTGACATTACCGATTGTCATAGTTAATATGTTAACTAAAAATAGTAGAGTACTTCTTTTTTCCATCATCTTCTTCTCTTCCTCTTCTATATAATTCAACCTCTCAGATCTTACAAATGATAAATGTAGCATAGTCGGTTGTATATGAAACAATTCAAAATAGGTATCCTCCGAAAACTGAACTTCCTTAAATTCTGGTAATCTAACCTGATCTTTATAAGTCACAGTTTGGCTATCTTTATTCCATGCAGCACCTGGGAATTTTGTGAAGTCCAGTAAGGAAAATAAGAAATCTTCATCCAATTGCAAGGACAATTCCTGTAATAGAACTGTCAAATGTTTGAAATAAACAACACCATGAGTGTCATCTTTAACCTTAGATATAGAACCGTACAACACTGGATGATTTTCATTTTCGTTTTTATTATCTGGAATAGCAGTTGGGTATAAAACATTAGGGAAATTTGCACCAAATAATTGGTTATCAATTTGCATCCATTTCATTTTCCAACTGAATGTTTGATACAAATCTGATTCAGTGTATTTCAACTCAATGCCTCTTAAGTTAACATATAATAATTCTTGCAATTGCGCATTAATCAACGATAAACCAAGTCCTTTGAAACTCACTACGACCTTTCTAAATATTTTCTCATCAGTTTCCTTGGCTTCAAAAACTTCTTTTGAACTATTGACAGAGATTGATGACATCGATTGCTTGGATTTCAATTTGTATAAACTGGATTCTCTACTGTAGTTCGTAATCACCAATACCTGTGTTGGACCGTCTGCAATTACATTTAACTCTACAGATTCAGAGGCATCAGTTGGGAGAGCACCAGGTAGTCTCATTGGAGTCAAATTACCAATTTCAGCTAACTGAATTTCTCTTTTCCTACCCTTTGCAGATAAGATCAACTTTTTCTGCCTTGCCGCAGGATAGTCCCACGCGTAAGGCATAATACTGCTTGAAGGAACACGATAGTATAATGGTTTATATTCTACCAGACCAGATTCTTCATCATCTTCCGTTTCATAATAATCATCAATTATTTTTGGATCTCTTTGATAGAAAATAAATTCATGATCACTCAGATTCCTAATAGAATAAGGCCAGCAATTCCCACCGTCTTTAATTCTTATAAAAATAGTAGCTTTATCCAAAACAATTTCAACTTTTAGAAGCTTATGCGTTGAATTTTCTTGCAGAACTTTCAAATAAGTAAAGCCAATATCTTTAATATAAAATGGAGCTGACCAGTCTGATTTAGAACCCAAAAATTTGATTTGTAATTGCTTATTCACGATATTCCTCATTTTATACATAGGGATTGAATCATCGGGTTCCAATTCTACTATATTTGTTGAACCAAACTCACATAATTCTAATGGAATTTCTAAGTCGTTATGTACAATATATCTTGGTGCAATCTCTATGAGTTTACTCAATGAATATTCACCTTCACCATCGACAATATGTATACCGACATTCGATTCTTGCTCCTTATTTGGTATGTTCAATATACCATCAAATGATTGTCCAATAGCGTCAAAAGATAAAGGAATACTCCAATCGGTATCTTTGAATCTTATTTTGGCCCTATTATTTTTGTAACCTAAGTCTGTAAACGAGAACATTTTTGCAGTAGTATATGGTTCATCATCATCAGCACCATCACTTTCCTCACTTGATATCAGCTTGGACTGAGTTATATTTTTGTTGTTATCCTGAATATATAAATCCTTACCAGTTCCATTGAAAATGATATATGGAGAATAAATTTTCAAAATTTTAGCTCTTGTACCTTCTACACTGTGATAAGCAATTTTTAGATTTAATCTTTGCCCACCATTGAGAGATAATGTTAACGTATTTTCTGGAGTCAAAGCACTTTCTGATGGTGTGTTAATAATAGATGCCTTCGACACCATTGCATCATCCATTAATGGCTGAACAGAAAATAATAAAAAGTTATCTAATGATACATCATGTATTGTAATTTTCCCATTCTTTTCCAAATACTTGAAACTATTACCTCCGTCACGTTTATCAAACAAAGAAAAATTGAAGCCACAAGGAAGAAGATTTTCAATAACTAATGGGGATGAAATAATTATTTTCATACGAGGGAAAATTTGTGCTAAAGGTTCCCTCTTATCATATTTAGCATTAACTTCGAAATAAAATTTCCTATCATCTTCGCCAACTGCGGAACATTGAACCGATAGTGGATCTGACAACAAGTCTTTCCAATATAGAGTTTGTTCCGACCAGTCAAATTCTGATCCAGATGGTTTAATATGAATCTTGGAATAATATACCTTTTCAATAGGTATTGATCTGATTTCAAGTGGTAATATAGTATAAACTGTCTCTTCAGAAGTTTCACTACCAAACACAAATTGAATTTCTGTATCAGTGGAATTTTCCAGTGTCAAGGTAGATCTAAAAGTAATTTCCTTAATATTATCATCGCTACATTTTAAATCACATATCAATCTATTGTGAATTTCGTTAAATGCAGGCTGTAGGACAAACATCAGTTCCCCTTCATAAGTAGCATCAATTTTCATTCTTGTTTTATAACTAGTACCTGAAATAGCTATACCTAGCATATTTCTTTTATTGTCGATATCCAACTTTTCTCTAACAGTTCTCCAGTCTTCAAATTCCCATGGTAAAGATGTGCCGCTCTTTAATGTAACCAAATTCTTCTTTTCATCTGCAGATTCGGTGATTATCCAAACATCCAAATCTAAACCTGTGTCGTTATGTAGCAAATATGGTTTTTCTGAACCTCTAGGTCTCAAGGTTAATTCACCTGACAATGAGCTAGGAATTTGTGAAAGCATAGAAATAGATCTTGTAGATAGAGTTATTTCGGCCACCTTTCTTGTAATAATATCGAACATTATTGCCGCATCCTTATCTAACCCCTTTGAAAGGTGGAATGAAATAGGTACTGGTTCAATCAATGGTTCCCAGCTCGATCTTGAATAGTTAAAAACATTAACATATGTTTCCAGTGTAGCTAATGCATCTAATTCAGTCGACCAATCTTTTGCAGTTATTTCGAAGGCGTTGACATTCATATCTAGAATTGGCATTTCATGAATATCACCAATCAGAACAAGACGCAGACCGCCCATTTCAATATTTAAATTTTCAGCTTGTACTGTGACAATAGAATTCGATCCATAATTTGTAGCAACGGTGGTGCTCTTGGTCAATGAGTCACTGCTCTTATTCTTTGTATTTGGATTCGAAAAAGTGTTCTCTATTATTTCGGTATTAGTTGAATTAATATCCTCTTTACTAGAATTACTACCAGAACTAGAGTTACTAGATCTTTCATTTGGATTTCCAGAAAAGTATTCACTTTTACTTAGAAGAGATACTGCCCTATTGAAAATCAACATTGCCAGTCTAATATCTCTTAAAGAAATCCTCATCAATAAGGGTTGGACTGAAGCTTGGATTTCAGTCAAAAGCTTTTCAACTGTCGAACTACGTTGGTCAATAACAATGGACGAAGAAAAATCGTCTAACAGTCTCACATTAGTTGCTTTAGGACTATTCATTTTAGATAAAAATACACCTACATTATTTGCCATAACAGTTGTAATATTTTGACTTGCAACTTGAAACTGACCAACCTTAAATACTACTGCTTCAGATTCAATATCTGATGGATCCGCTAATAACATTACTTGAGGATTGACCATATTAAAAATATATTGGAACTTGTTTTGTGTTTCTAATTGGTCAAAAGTTTTCGTCATATCAAGTTCAGTTGTGTATGGAACAGGTGTATTAGGTATCATAACTTTGGTTGGAATACCAAAGGAATTATCATAGAAATTCTTCAACTCAAACAAATAATCCATTGCAATAATTACTAGAGGATTATCAATCGTAATCGAAAAGGTAGTAAATAAATCACCATCAATACATTTACGATTAATATTCGAAGTAAACTGGTACTTTGATCCAGAAATCTTTGGTACCAACTCAGTATGCTTATTATCCTTCAAATTCCTAATATCTTCAATTGTAAATGAGTCAATATGAGAGGAGCCATCTAAAGAATCATCGTTTTTTAGAATAAAATTAAATCCAATGTCTTCAAATTTAAACCTGGTAAGCCCGTACTTCTTAAGAGTTGTGCAAGATGCAGTTTTGTTATAAAGGGTTAACGATGTCTCTGGCGCCCTAAATGTGAAATCAACATATATTCCATTTCCATTTGCTACATCTGAGGGATTTTCAGGGGAGTGCGCTCTACTATTTGAGGCAGAGTCGTCACTTGAATTTTCTACTATTTCATTTACATAACCCACTTCTTCATCAAGTTCACTTAAATCGACTTCTTTGACTTGGAAAGCTAAAAATATTCTGCCCCAAATAGAAAATAGATAATGCAATTGAATCTCAGTTAACGAAGCACGCAATGCATCAAATATACCATCAATTTTAAACTTAGGATCTGTATCTAAAGCTATAGGATCGTGATCAATATTAAAAGTTAAACCCATATCTTTAACGATGTCGAAATTTTGCATTTCACCAGTATGGATCCAGATTTTGGAAGAGAAACTTCCTTCCTTTATTCCTAGTTTCATATGATTCACTTTGTGATCCAATTCTATCTGAGTAAAATGGTTTTCAACATAGAAATCACCCAAGTAAAAGTCAATAGTATCGTATTTACCGTTTTCATAATCAGATTCTCTTGGAAATGTAATCAACGGACTTTTAACGTTGATACTCAATTTCATATTATTGACCGCATCAATTGATGGCGTCTGATTGTATGCTACCTCCCGTGCCTTTTCAAACAAACTCTTCATTCTCAAAAACTTGTAGAAGTAATTCATTATTTTATTAATAGATTCTTCAACAAAAGTTACATGCATCGAAGCGGCCTTATAAATAAGCAATGAATCGTAGTTGTTCTTATTTTCTGTAGGGTCAAACGTTTCATATGAAAATTCTACTAATTCTTCATCGTCCATCGATATTAATCTGCTGAACTCTTGACCATCTGCATTTAGTACAGAGGCATCGATCAATTCCATTCCACCTAACTTTAAACCAAATTTCATTTTCTCTGGTAACATTAATAATGAAAATTCCGCAGCTGTCAAAATCCATGTTGCTAACTTTGAACTATCATCATTGAAATCAATCGTAACACCAGCCATTTTGACAAGCATAATGATTTTCTGTGGAGCATCCTCTCTATCTTCACTATTATGTCTTAAAGCATCTGCCGGCATATCTGTGGCTGTAGGATCAGTAAATGTTGTAATTGCATAATTAAATAACGTTAAAATAGACTTTGGAGTTAAACCTAAGTGTAACTTAGCCATATCGATACGAACATCCTGATCAAAGATTTCAATTAGAATATTTTCATGCTCTACAATTCTCTGTTGCCTTACGTAATATAAGCTAAACAAATGTTTATCTTCTGCAGCTGAAATTCCTTCAGAAGAAATTAAACGTTTGAGTTCTCCTTCTCCAGACTTAATAATATAATCAATTACATCGAGGGAATGCATACTGATATCAAACGTCATTTCTTTTGCCTTCTTTATAAAATTGAATTTTAATTGATTACCCAAAATTTCGATCAATTTTCTTCCGTTCATAGTTGCATTGTCGGTGCATTGGTAAACGGACATATTAATAGATTCGATATCAAAACAAATATCCATGAATTTTTGATCAATTTCTGCATCACTCATACCTTTTAACATACGGAATGTTTCAGTCAATTGTAACTCATACTTCCTCTTTTCATCAGTTTCAGCTGAATTAAAAAAGTTACTAAACTCATCATTATCATCAATATTGACACCAGATGGTATACATTTGGCTATAAGCTGCATTATAATATTGTATTGATAGTCATTCAACGATAAATTTAGCGTAGGAAGTCTACCAAATGTCCTAATACGAGGCAAATTATATGCCCTTGGCAAGATTGATATATCTACCGAAAGTTCCAATCTCATTTTATCTAAAATGCTAAATCTGTCATCTGGATCTTCTTTTGAGAGACTTGAAAGGGTACTTCTGACATCAGGTCCAATCAAAATTTGAGTATCTTGTGAACATAATTGAAATCTATCAAACATTAATCTATTAATCTCAGACCCGTCAATTTTGTCGTATTCTTCTATAGACATTTCCTTAATAACTTTTATCTTATCTTTAGAAACTAAATCACTTAAAAGAGTTATATGACCAGCATCTATAACTGCACAAGGGGTATCCCAACTGTGTGGATCAAGTGGTAAGATAATCAATGGAGCTTGGAGGTCCAAATTAATATTGACCGTTCTATGCTCTTCCAACAAAGCTTCCAAACCCATTCTTGTTTGAGAAGTCCATCCTTCAACAGTTGCCTCTGCAGCGTTAATTATTGCACCTATTGTATTCATATGTTGCTTTGGTGGATTGAAGAATCGCAAAACTTCGTTGATGAAATGAACATGATAAAAGATTGTCATACCTCTTAACTTGACACCTATCTTAGAATCGGCAGAACCATCCAAGGGATTATCTTCATAAAACGCCTCAAACAATGGATGAATTTTTGTCGAATTGGTAACTTCTTCATTTCCATTCAAATTTTTAACACTAATAATATGCTTGTATAGTGTATTTGGAGAACCATCTTCAAAAATAAATTTTTGTAATTTGAAAGATGTCATATGAGATTCTGGACGTTGTAAAAATTCAAAATAACATTCTTCAAATATCATTTCACCTAGTTTCATATTTTGTTCTCTTTTAGTAATACAGAATGAACCTTTCTTTAAAAAACTTGTTACTCTAAAAGTTACTGTTTCTTTCGGAATTTGAATATTATTGATTACAGTGTCGTTTTCTGTAAATTCAATTGCTTCATATAATTCTTTTCTTTGTTCATCAGTCATTTGTAATTCTTTTGTATTATCACTTTTACCTGTCCAAAATGATGAAAACCAAGTTGATGCAGAGTTCTGTGCTGCTTGCGGAGTTGGGGTATTGTCTCTTGATGATTCCTTTAATAATTGAATATACATTTTTCTTGCTATAGATCTGAAAAGAATAATATCTTCGTATTGTAAATCATGTTCTAGTTGATCCAAAGCCTTTTGATTTTTTTCATCCGGTAATGGATTATTCAAATTTGGCAATTTCAATTTTTGCAACCATAATCTAATATATTCACGTCTTTGATCACATCTTTTCTTAATATGTTCCCATGTCCATATTTCATATTTCTGCTTTACTTCATTTAATACAGTGGTAGCGGTATAAGCAAACCATGCCTTTGGATCTTCACTAACAGAGAATTGTGGTCTATTAATTTTAAATTTGAATATCTTATTGTTGATATTAATACTTGATAATATGTGCAATAAGTTTGCATATTCAATATCTCCTAATTCTACACCAAATTCGTCATAAATCATTTGTAAATCAATGTGGGGACGACTTTCTGTAGAGCCTAATTTATTCACACTTAATCTACCAGTACCTGTAATTGGCTTCAATACGTATTTATTATTATCTACTAGTTTATCGTTGGAAGATATCGAATCTCTAAAATTATTAATAATTTCAGCGATGTCAGTAGAATTATCAAACTTCAAATTGGACAAATCTTTTTGTATGTTCCAATAAAAACATAAAGAGTTTAGAGTCATTAATTTATGAGTGACATTAGTTGCTATAGAGATAAAACTTGGATTCCAATCCGAATCTGTCGATATAGCAGACAATTCATTTAAAGTGATACCAATGGAGCATGGATCTTTTGAAAAGATACAATGTTCATCTTCGTATCTAATATGAATATTTTTAATAGTAATCTGTAAGTTATCTACAACTTTTGTTAAAAGAGATTGCATGAATGACTCATTATTATTGTCATCTTTCCCCTTTTCAGTAGCCGAGTTGTTCAATCTTGCAGTATTTGATAGTTCCCATTGTGCCAACTTATTCAGTTTCAATCTAAATTCCCTTTCAATCTGTTCCTTTTCATTATAATCGCTGGGATCCCTAGGATTACATAGAAGATAACAGTCTTCTATCATGATCTTGACAGGCTTATTTTTCAAACTTGACCATGGCACAGTCAATACCAAATTACCTAGGACACCAAATTTAACATTGATCGGCAAATTCAAAGCATCTAAACAATCATTTCTAAGTTTTAAATTCTTCAATAAAACATCACCACTCCAAATACCAACATCCAATTGTTTCGGATCAAAATTTTCAACATATGCACCCAATAATCTATTTAACAGATTGGCTGCCAAAGATTCCAACATCTCATAAAATGAAATATCCTCGATCAATTTAAATAAAATCAAGTAAAATCAAATCAAATCAAACCACTCCAATTTAAACAAGCTTATTCTTTAAAAACAAAATAAATGCAACAATCCAATAAAAAAAAACAACAAATAACTTAGATATCCAACTCTGGAGTATCTTGATAAACTTGTTAATCTATTTCTTATGAACTAAACTGTTTAGTGTTGTATAAATATAATGATCCTTTAAATATTATTGAGATTTCTTCTTTTCTAAGCCTGGAAGGTCAAAAATTGAAAAATGTTCGAAACGATCAGTTTCGTATAGTGAAGAAGAGATGAGATGAGATGAGATTAATGTTTGGAGGTATAAGAGTGAGTTTAATTGGTTCCAAGTAGTGGATGGATGGTATGCTATGTAGATTTGATATTCTAAAATTATGGAGTAATGTAAATGTTATAGATTGGTAATGGTGTTGGTAGTGTTAATGGTAATTGTGGATGGGGATGAATTTGATATGGTAGACTTGAATGAGTGTCATTCTTGTTGTAATGTGAACCAGGGTTCTCAATTGTGAGGTATTGTCTTTTTAAATTTGGTTTGCTTAGCTTAACTTTTGTCAGCTTGGCCTTTTAGTTTTAACGAAATGGATTTGTGGTAGAGATTTTCAATGGTGAAGAACGAAATTTCGATGAGTTTTTTTCAACCACTGTGTCTTCTTCTGCTACTGAATATATTTCAAATCTTGCATTCTCTTGTGTACTTCTTCTTGATGTATTTCCACCCTCTCTTTTCAATTCTAAACTTGTTGTACCCCCACGAAGCTGATTTGAATAATTCGAACTATAGAAATATTCATCTTCTGCATTTGAATTTGAAGATTTCTTAAATAACATATGTGTTAAATCATTTTTACCAGTACCTGCGCTAGCTGTTTTCTTTAAATGACTATTATCAGTAGACTTTCTTCCCGGAGATGATATGCTAGAACGAAATTGTATCACATCTTTTCTCCTTGCCTCTAGTAATTCATCATCATTGATTAATATACATAAATCACCAGCTATGTACCTTATCTGTTCTGCCATCTTTTCATCATCTTCATGTATCACTTCGAAATCTTTTAAAACTTCAAATATCATTATATTACTTCTTGCCCAAGCAATAAAATCATTTGAACCATTATTTATTAAGTACGATATTAGAGTCATAGTCTTCAAAATATGAACACAATTACGATGTGATGACTTCTTACTAGACCCTGTTAACCGTTTCTTGAGTACTTGAATTATCTCTTTTAAAGTCTTGGGACTGTATGTTAAAACTGAAATTTCATTCATTAACGTACCTGTAGCACCAGAAGTCTCATTATCATCAGTAGCTTCTTTAACCTTGGCTTCAGTAGCAGATTGAACAAAGTTCCTAACAGAATCGAATATTGGCATATCCAAACCGTATTCAAATAGTCTTTTTAATAGTCAATTTCAGTTTATTATCCCAATGATTAGAAGGAGAGGAACTAGAAACAAAGTTAAAAGGAAGGAAGGACTTTTATTAAAAATATTCTACCAATTCTTCACAAGTATCAGGGTATTGGTTTAACGTGATGTTCGTATAATTAAACTACTGTTTTAATGATCTAGCTCAAACCAGTTATCCGTTATGTTCATGATACTTGTAATATATCAAGTTTCGTTTCTCCGTGTGGAAAAGATTTAAATTCGATGCTTTTGAATAAACCTGATATATCTTAATATAATGTATAATCAGGTACCATAACTTGGTAAGAATAATTGGTATTTACGGATATAGTTGATATTTGGATTCAATCATCTAACCTATGAATGGTGTATTATAATTTGAGTCTATGGCGATAATGCATTGGAAACTACGGTATGTTATAAAGCTCTATATAATGATACAAGGGTTCCTGATTTTATCAGGAAAGATAATTCTGAATTATTCAATAGAATTTTCAAGTCATCGAATTGTGATTGTGGTAATTCTATTACATGGGTGTCATCAGCGATCCATGTCTTCTTTGCCTTTTTGTATGTGAATATTTGTAATTTATTATCATTGATCATTGTCAAATACTTACCAGATACATCTAAAATTGAAAATTTAGACCTGGCAATATCAATAGGTCCAGATAACAAAGTACCTATTTCTTTCCTTAGATCGAATACCATTAAATCTGTGGTTGTTTGAACCTCCATACTGTAACCATTAGTGCACATTTGTATAAAAGTTATTGGTGAAGTTCCAGGAATATGTGTACCCAATTTAAAAAATTCTACTTCTACAATTGGATTACTCAAATTTATTATTTCAATGATATCAAATGATGCAATTGCTAATAGTAGACCGTCTTTTTGTAAACTTGCTGAGATACATTTATCAGAATTTTGACTACTATTTTGAACGATATAGGTAATATCTTCTGAAATTGAACTTAATCCAATTTTACCTTGATTGTCTACCCATAATAAATAATCATTAGCAACATGACTATGATTATTGATGAAAATAATTTCTTCATTCCCACCAGTTTTAATCTTTTTTGATGTTTTATCATTAAAACTGTATGCTACAATTTCATTTATTGAAGTTGTATAAAATAACCAATCATCTGTATAGTTTGTTGATAATAACTGGTAATCTGAGTCGATTATTACATCATGAATTGTCTTTACAATTTGGGAATCAGATACAATAGTCAACGTTTTAGTATCATCGTTAAGGAACAAAGTTTTTTCGATAGGTTTGGAAGAGTTGGTATCAATTTTTGTATATATTTTATCATTAATAGTAATATCCCACGTCTTGGATAATTCAGTCTTGGTTAATGATGGTAATTTATATTTATCCTGAATTTTATTTAATTGAGTAAATTCCAAATAAGATTTAGATTCTTGTTTCAATTTTTCTTTAAAGTCATCATTAATTTGAATTATTATCTTTTCTTCATCAATAGTCCCCATTAGTTTCGTTAATTTATTAATTTCATTTGCTAATTCATCTTTTTCCTTCAAAGTTTTTGCTGCAATCAATTTAGCTGAATCTCTTTCATAATATGCTATACTTAATTGTTTGGTGAAAGCATCTAATTGTTTCCTTAGTTGAAAATTTTCCAACATTATTGCATCCCATTCATTCTGTAATGTCGATAATAAATTTGGTATACTATAATTTGTATTTAAAGTTGAAGCATTGACAGCATTTACCAAAGAAGTCTGTTGAGGAGTTTGCGATATTTCAACCAATTCAGATAATTTCAAAGGTTCATTGGTTATTGGATCTTTGCCACTCTGTTCAACATACTGTTCAATTAAGGCTTTCTCAAATATAGATTTCGATTTGGGAGATAGAACAGGAAATTTTGCTGGTTTCCCACTGATTGCACAAAACATAGCTTAAATTACGATGTTTTCAATCAAGATCACTATAATGCAAACCAATATATAAATTGCTCTGTTATATGCAAGTAGATATCCTTTTAATTCAAGTTTTTTAATCTGTTTACTTGACTTTATTAAAGTTATAGATGTTTTTACATTGTTAATAAGATATTTTTACAGGTTAAGCTGGTATAATGAAAACTATTTGATAGCGATGCTACAGTTTTAAGCAGGAGATGCTATGAGATGATATGGGATGAGATTGACAGGGAACTGTTCGACTTGAAACTTTGACTTTGATTCTAACTATAATTGTAATTAGATGATATTCAAGAGAATGATTAGATATTAGGTTAGAATTGAATCGATTTAATTGATTCCTATTTTTTAAATTTTTTTGTCTCCTTTAGTAAGGACAAAAACAATTTAAGTGTAGCATCTGATTTATAGTAGTTTTATAAAGCATTATACTAAAAAAGTCTTGATAGGATGACGAGTTTATTATAATTATGGTCTCAAGCGTAATTATTCTTGGAAATTGAATAAATCATTGCCTGATATGTCCTCCAATTCATTCCATAGCCATTTTCTCCATATATCGCCGGCTGTAGACATAATATTGTTGAATGAATTGGAAGCTTTACCATCGTTACCAACTTCTATCATCATATGATGTGATGAAGATGGGACTGTTGTTGTATAAGAAACATTTAGTCCTGTGTTAGGTACAGATGAGGACGGCGAAGCAGTTAATGAAGAAGTTGAAGAGGAAGAAGTTGAGCAATCCGAAGAAGTTGACATTGGACGTGACTCTTTAGAATCTGATTCATTATTACCACTGCTACTTTTTGAATCTGCAATATTACTGAATTCTCTCATTTTTCTGAAACTAGCATCATCACTCTTAGACAAAAGCGGTACATTATTCAAAAATTCAGTAATTTCACTTTCTTCGAACTCTAATAATTTAAATTCAGAGTGTTGTAAAATAGCGATATAAATGAATATTAACTGGACATGTGGATCAATTAATGAAAATGGTATACTTGCATCTTCACAATCCTTATCACATACTTCATTTAATGCCATCTTGTCTTTTAAATTTACTGTATCTTTTGCTTCTATGCTTCCAAATCTATTTCTAATTAGTAATTCTCTGAGGACGTCTTTATCAAATTCACATCCTTGAGAACCTAAATTTATATGATTTAAATCTGGAAACCAAAATGGATCATTATGAGTTATTGATTTTAAAAATTTAATGTTCGATACAAACGTTTTTGAATATAAATGATCAAATTTTTTTGTATTATAATTTAAGAAAAAATTTATTGTTTGCATTTCAGGATTTGGTCTCCATCCTAATAAAATATCCCATAGCCTTGCCCTATCTTGTTTATGAAATGCACGAGCTCCTGCAAATTTCAACCACCAGTATAGCCAATTTTTCCTTGTAGCAGATTGTTGAAATGGAGTTTCTTCAGTTAATGGTTGATATAATTCAGGTAATATTGAAGAAAACACTTAAAAAATAGTTGAGTTTCGAAAGATATATTCACCCCCTGATATAACAGGGAAATAATTGTTTATGGCATCTTCCTTAAGTTTGTTTTTATTTTGATCACGTAAAGAATTTTGGGCCATTGCGACGTCAGGGGAGTGTAATATCACTAATAAAAACCTCTCGTATATTTGATCAAAATCGAAGAAATCGACATTTGAAAGTTGTGATCTTAATCTATTTGGTAGAGGGTATTCGTCAAATAATCTTGTTGTGTTTGAATTGAATAGAATATCGTCATTATCATAATTTGAAACTGAATCATTTAAATTTTCCTTTTGTTTTGAAGGTTTACTGTGACTACTATGTTTTTTAATGTTCAATAATAATGGGCCAGCTTCATTTTCATCGTTATGGATTGGAAACCATTCGGCTATCCCGACTGCTAACCAAGCTAAACCAGGTTCATATTTAAAAATTTTTGACCATTTATTCAAAAAAGATAATATTGTTGATTTTAAGGATTCGATAATTTTTAGATTATCATTTTGGATTTGTAAAAAATTTGGATCTTCGTTACTTAAATTTTTTCTTATGTGGAAATATTTTTTCAAATCATGTAAGATTTGTGATTCAATTTCGACTTCTATTTCGGAATTGTTATTATTAGTTAAATTCTCAGTTGTGGTATTACTTAAATTATTCTCACTATTGGATTCATTATTATTTTTATTTGCCAATTGATAAGAATTTAAATTGTTATCCCAAACCAAAGTATTTGAGATTATATAAGGTGAAATACACATTGGGTGATATTTCAATAAAATTGGCCATACTAAATATCTCAATTGTGGCGGAATACCGGTATTTCTTGAAATAAATGCTAAAGAATCATGGTCGTTTGCATTTATAAGTTCTATAACCACTTGAATTAATTGTTTATTGTGATATTGTTGTTTTAGATTTCTTAGATATGATGGATTGCTTGATTTTGTATTTGAATTTGGATTCGAGTTTATATTAGGGTTTGAATTGGGATTCGTATTTGTGCTTGTGTTTGTATTCGTATTTGTGTTAGTGCTTATGTTTGCATTGGCATCGTCATTGGCATCGGAATTGGAATTGGAATTGGAATTTAAATTAAAATTTGAATTTCGTAATTTATCTGTCATATTTTTTGTATAGGTTTATAATAATTTAACATTCAATGAAAAAAGAAAATAATATTTCGATCTATTTATCGTATCTTTACTGAATTGAAATTCAGCTGTTCAAATGAAATGCAGTGTAAAAATTTTTTGAACAACGACAAGTGATTAATTGCAATATACTCTTGTTGAAAGTTAAATAAAAATCCATAAAGTAGCAATATAATTATGAACTATATACAGTATTATTCATTAAGAACAAAAATTGCGTTGTTATATAAATTATTTTTGAGAAATTAAATTAAATCAAATCAAATTTAAATTTATTAAAAATTGATGATGATGAGGGAAATAGTCACATGAACATGACTATCACGTGACGTCAATATGATTATGCGAGCATCTATTGCTACAACAACAAACTACAAACAACACTATAACAATATTTAGTAGTTTGTTTATAATATATATTTCTCGATGATTCAAACAGGGCATACAATGAAATACATATTCTAGAGGTTTTTTTCCAACAAGTCAAAGACAGTAATGTTGTAACTGTCATTAACAATTAACTTATATTAACTATAAATACTCACAGATTATCTAGATCAAGATAATCACGTGAGCCAGGATATTGCCTCTTGGTCAACATACGATACTTGTCATATACAATTGAGAAAGTGTGTTATAATAGATGTTGTGACTAGCTCAAACATAAAAAAACCACTCTCTTATATCATATTCTAGTAAACCCTTTAATGTTATATTTTATATTACATTTTGAAGATCATTTAACCAAAGTAAAGAAGAAGATCATCAATGGAATGATTAATAGTGGATGTAATAAAAGAAAGCCAGGGTAACTCTGGCAGGCAATGATTGGCGGCTAAACAAGACGTTGCCTTTTCTTTTCTTTTCTTTTCTTTTCTTTTTGTTATTATTATATCGTTTTTGTGTCACACACACTGGCAGTTCCCGCTCCCCTTAGAAATAAAAAGAATGAACAGGTCGGTACCGAATGGAAGAACATGGAGTCCGGAATATATAAAGGGAGGAAATGGATGTTCTTGTTCCAGAGTTTGGTCTTTTTTTTGTTGTTGTCCAACTCACATTAGTTGATACCTGATGTCTGAATAATTTCTAATTGGAACAAGTTATTTACAACTACTCAAATACAATCCACAACAACTCTCCAATATAGTTATCACAACAGGGATACCACTTTTTGAAGAGTTGTATAATAGGTTGTATTCCACTTTCTTTCAGGTACAATAGTCATCGTATCTCTCTATCTGCTTGGCGGCTAAAAAGGGAAACTTCTGTGTTTACCCTACCTAAGGTTTGCCGTCGGAGAATAATCGGTTTTTCCTGTTCGTATACAATTATAAACGTCAGGTCACTGTATACGTGATTGTTGCTTTTTTTGGAATTTATTTTTAATTTTTTCTCTTTTCTTTTGTTTCCTTATTTGGCTCTTTTGTTTGCTGTATCTTTTACTCATCCATCAAGTTTTACACCATATTACAGTCAATATAGGAAACATAATAAATACACCACCATTCTGTATAGTAAAATATTGGCTGGCTGCGACCGAGTGAGGTTTACAAGTGTGTGTCTGTTTATCTCTGTGTTACGGCACGGGGAATTATTATTATTAACGTGGCTTAGTTGAGTTAAATTTGATTGATATGAAATTAAATTCGATTGAAATTAGAGTAATTGAGATTAAACTAAACTAAATTCTACTTATAAGTTACTTTGGTTACATTCATTCACTCTATCTCTATCTCTCTCTCTCTCTATCTGACTTATAGATGGAATAGGAAAACTGTATTGGTGGCATATATATATATATCTATATCAACAACAAAAAAATATCAAAGGTTTTTAACAGTTATTATTTTCACTCCTGATTGAAACAATTATCAACTCCTGTTTCTACCAATTCAACGCATATTCACATATATCCCACTATAACTGTTATTATTCATTAATCTTATATCTATAAAAAACAGTTCTCATTCAATCGTCTCATTTCAATATGGTGTTGTTAAAGGATCTGTTAAACCAAGAAGATAATAATTCTTCACTAACTTTTAAACAAGATGACCAGGAATTAGGTGTGTCCCATTTGCCTTCTCCTGCTTTTACCCACTCGACTGTAAATAGTAGCAATAGTGATAATGACTTGGACGATGATGATTCTTTTGATACAAAAATTCAGAAAAATTTGCCATCACCCACTAATACTATCACAAACGCCACTGGCATCAATCAAACTGCTATAGATGCTAAAACGGCTGCTGATTCATTAACTTCTGCAAATATGACTCCTCCTAGTATACCCACTCCAACTTTATCAACCAATTCAACTTCTCCTTCTTCTCCTGCCGCAAAAGAATTATCATGTCAATGGGCAGAATGTTCTCACTTATTTAGTCAACCTGAATTTTTATATCATCATCTATGCCACGATCATGTCGGTCGTAAGTCTCAGAGAAATTTACAACTAAATTGTCAATGGGGTAATTGTAAAGTAAAAACTGAAAAAAGAGATCATATCACTTCTCATTTAAGAGTTCATGTTCCATTAACTCCATTCAGTTGTAAAACCTGTACCAAAAAATTTAAAAGACCACAAGATTTGAAAAAACATTTGAAAATTCATGTTGCTGATGATTCTCAAGTAAGAATCAAGAAAAAAAGAGGTCCAAAGTCAAAAGCAGACAAGGAAAGGTTATTACAATTATCTTTACAAGACTCCACCATCGCTAACAGTGGTAGTAACAATCAAAATTGTCAAAATTCCCAATTTTATAATAACGACTTACAGAATATGATACCAAAGGAATTATTTTCTCAATGTGATCCTTCTTATTCACAACATGTAATCTCAAGATTGCAAACTGTTTTACCTCCTTTATCTCATGAAAATAACCTGAATGTCAATAACAATTTATACCATCCTCAACCATACCATCAATTACCTGCTTCTTCATCCACTGTCTCGAAGGCTATGTTTTTCTCAAACTTGTCAAGAGATTTAAACACTCCTGTCAGACCTCCAGTTGTGCATCAAAATGTTTCTTATGTGTACCAAGGTCAAACACCAGTACAACAAACTCAAGTTCATTATGCTCAGCTCCAATCTAATACTAATAATATTCAACAAATTGGGCACGATTCTCAAAACAAGTACCCAGAATTGCCTCATTTATCTTCTTCATTATATAATTCAACTACAAGTTATCCACAACAATATCCACAACAGCAACAACAACAACAACAGCAATATCCACAACAGCATCAACAACAACACACTTCTGTTCTCCCCCCATTGAATCAAAGTCCACAAATGTTCACTCCTCGTTACGAATCGTTGCAAAGATTACCTCACTTCAACGTGCAATCAAGTTACTTTAGCACTGTTCAAAAGAGTAACGGTAAGGATATGGATGCATTAGCGGAAGATGTCTTCAAATTGTCAATAGATAAACAAGAAAATAATAATGAAGAAGAAGACGAAGAAGAAGAATTTGTAGATGTATTGAACACAGTTGAAATAATAAAAGACTATTTGATATGTTCCTTACTTGAAGAGGAATACGAATCAGATGAAGAGTTTGATGATGACAAGTTGGTAAACCAATTGAAATCTGATACTCCTGTAACTCTAAAGAAATACCCAAAAATTTTAGTTTAAAGATTTCAGTCACTCTTCATTTATATCAGGTGGTCATTAAAATAAAATTCATTTCGTTCTATGTACCTTCACTTTTATACATTATACATTTTTTAATAGGATTATTAAATGGTTGAGAATCTGCAAGTTAAGTATGTTCTCGATTATCTTTTTTTGGTTTAGGAAATTATTATTTTGCATACTTGATAATATCTATTTATTATTATCAGTTTACTTTAGAAATTACTTAATGTTGTTTATTTAAAAGTTCTTGAATCTAGCAATTACTAATGCTATTGGTATCTGACTTGACCATATTCCGATGAAAACTAGTGAAATGATCATCTCATATATAATGCTTTTATGATAGGTTTGAATAACCTTGTTAATTATTTTTTTTGAATCATCAATAACATCTTCAAACAATTCTGTCGCAAGGTTATTACTACCTGTTGCATTTGTTGAGTTATTTGAAGATGATAATAGATTATTAATATCATCGCCGTTGATTCTTGGTAATGTCACATTTGCTTTATTATGTATCCATGTCAAACTCTTTTCAATTGTGTACAATTTGTTTTCGATAACACAGGAAACAACTGTCTTCATAGGATTGTACAGCAGAGTACCATTGAATATGTCTGCTAATGTATCATCTATTCCATTAATCATATGTGTGACAGTATTGTTTAATGATTCAGTAGAGTCTTCAATCCAGCCAAAGACTTGATGATTTAAATTCCCTTCTGTCTGTTTGATGTATAAGTTTACCTGATTGCTCCATGTTGAAACATCATCTTTTAATGAATGAACAGCAGATGAGTTAGCTATTGAATTTATATTTATCATATTTGAATTATTGTCAAATGTCCTCTTCAGAAGCGTTATAATAATTAACTGTAAAATGGAAACAAAAAATGCCAGCATTCCTATTCCTAATATAAACAAGGCTCTTTCTGATGCTACATAAGCAACGATCCATTGTCTTCTTCTTTTGTTACTTTCATTTTGAAATGAAGAACGATTGAAGTAAGTGATTATCTTTTCTATGAAATTTACTATTCTAGTATGCCAAGGATTGAAACAAGTTTGGTACCCAGCAATTACATCAAATTGATCAGGAATAATATTTTTCTTATCATTAAATGGATCTTTAACCTCTTGATTTATAGTTTCCAATTCGGAGGAGGAAGGGTATAGATCCTTGTTATACCAATAAAATTCCCTTAACTGTGTCAGACGTTTCCATAATTTAAACTCCTCCAAAAACTCTGGAAAAAGGACCACAACAGCACCGATTAATAGCAATACAATGCAAACTATTGTTGCAACTTTCAAGAGATGATCCATTGAATAGAAAAACGACGTAATGTGATTTTTATTGGCACTGCAAATTCCTTGATAATTGCTGTTATCGTTAATCGGTGGGACATATAATACGTCAGGATCACCTACAATATTAGTAGTATTGATTGATTTAATTTCTTTTCTGATTTTTTCAAAAGGTATTCCTATTAGATTTTTGGTTGAGTTTTTGACCTCATCGAAAGTTGGCGTAGAATCTGAAATCTTCTCTAATTTATCATTAATTGAAGAAGGAATATATAGGTTTCGTAGGGCTTTTATTGTTAAGTTAACAGATGCTATGTTCTTACTTGAACTACTTGAATCGTCGTCGTCATCATCATCATCATCACTAAATAAGCTACCAACTTTTTCAGCTGCCGAGATTGCTTTGTTGATGATTTTTGATAAATCATTCAATCCATCATCTAAATCATTAGCAATTGATCCAACTGAACCATTTACAAAACCTATCAATTTTTCAGTAGCGTTAACTGCTGTGTCTACTGTTCCATCTATAGCTGCCACCAATAAGCATTCATATGTTCCTAAATAAAAATCTACCATGAATTCCAATATCTCCTCACTAGCATACACGAGTAAAGAGACAGTAGATAAACTTGTTTTAACAGTTTGAATCAATGCTTTATTGATCAGATAGTTCCCAAATACACCAATGTAATGAGGTGTACTATTCAAGGTTTTTGAATACATAGTGTCAATTGTACCACAGTTTGACAATATATAGCTTTTAGAGACGTCTAATGCATTTCTTAATGAGGTTGAAAAGAATAGTAACTTAAAAGCAGCTAGTATGAATAAAATAGTATATTTATTAAGCCATATTTGAGATAGTCGTTCATTTAAATTCAAATAAGCAGGATTATATTTTATCATTTCAGTAGTATGGTATATTTTATAAGAATAATGAACTTACTATACTGTGACGCCGTTATCAAAAAGATGTTAACTAATTAGCAAGAACAATATATTTACATTTGCAAACAAATAGAGGGATAGGTATCATTCTAAATATATATATATATATATATATCTAAACCCAAGTTTTCATTATATTGTTTAACTTTTTTTTTCTTACCTCTTACAGCATTTTATTATACTTGAAACATGGTTAAAACAATCTTATAACGTTAATATTAAATCGTCAATATATTAAAAAAAAAGTTCAATTGTTATAGTACTCAAAACATCTCTACAACTAACTATGCTACTATCAGTAAGTGTAACTAGAAGTTGAGATATTTGGATGCAACTAGTTATACTGGCTTTTGTTTTCTAAGCCATCTTATTCTATTACTATATTACCATTCCTTGACTTCTAAAGTGGCATTAGGCAAAAGCGTCGAAGCAAGTTATTGCAATTGGGTTTAACTAATGAAATGAGATTACTTGAATTGTTTAAACCAGTTAATCTGTAAATATATTAGTTTACAATATTATTTTTTGCTTGCATCTTTTCTGCTATTTTGGTTAGAATTGAAACCATCGCCATAGCCTTGCCAATAGCATAGTTAACTGTCAGAGAAGGATAACACAAACTAAATCAAGAATTTGAAATCACCTCATTTATTTCAAGATTAAATTGGTTCTAGTTTATAGGAATTGCATTGATCAAAAATGCTTTAATTACAATGGGATCTTTTAGATATTTTAGCAATATACAGAGATATATTGGTTAAATGAAAAATTGGCCTGACTTTTTGGTCAATGAGATGGCTTTAAGACTTCTGTCCACAGAATTTGAAATTGAATTAATATAAGTAACTCAATGCTGAATCCACTCAAGTTCTTTTGTATTTTTAAGTCATCAAAAAGATCAGATCAACTTAAAATTGATACATTTAAGCAACTATGTAGTATTCTTAATAATAAAAATTGACTTTTTAACGTTAACTTGCTTCGAAGATGGTCTAACTTGTTCACATTAGCAATACTTAGCCATGTGTCTTAAAGAGAAGGTATATTACATGATGAGATTGATAGTATTTAGGTTCAGTTGTGTGGTTGACATATTTCTAAAGTAATTTGAAAACATTGTAACTATAACAGAATGGATTCAGTGCCTTCGATAAGGATATTGACTAAAAATGCAGTGATAACTTCAAAGTATACTTTATTGAAGAATCATTCAAAATATTACATGCCAAACCATAATCTGAAGGATATTGACGAAGATACTGTAGTCAAGATGTATTATAGAAGGTTTATCAGGCTTCGACCACTTATTTCTAGAACAAGAATGGTTAAAGAAACTTATACTTCGTACATACGATATAAGTTTAAGATTGAAAATTATCAATTAAAAAGGAAACTTGTTACTGGTATAGAAGAACAACGACCATTGATACCAACTTTACAAAAATCGCTTGAGTTTATTATAAAATCAGTTTCTTTTATACCTGAAACCAAGACAATTAAGTTTAAAATTGCCAGAGATAATACAATCTGTAGACAAGTTTTAAAAAATTTGTTAACGGTTGAATATCAGAAAGAAAACTTTATAGAGAAGAGATCTAAAGGATCGGAATTATATCAATTACTTCGAGTTGACTTTAATCACCTAGTTAATTCGAATAATAATTTAAAATTTACTTCACAGTTAAAAGTATTTAATGATTTTGATATGTGTTTAATATTAATGAATGAAACCATTGGAACTAGATTATAGTCATTAAATATGCATTGAAAAATATATATGTATGTGTGTGTATATCAAGCTGTTTCAAGTATATAGTTAACTATCTGTAACCATTTTCACATTCATAAGAATATCCATATCTTGAGTAAGGATACTGAGAGTATACTTTTGATGGTTTAATAAATGTCCCTGAGTTTTTATTTTGCAATCTTGAATGATTTTGGTATTGATCTAATTGATTTAAGTTACGATTCTTTATGATTCCTTCATCGTTAGGGGTAGTCTCTGGATCGATGATTACTCCATGGAATGTTTCTTGTTTAACGATCCTTAAATTGATAGATCTTAAATACTCCTCTAATAATAAAAGAGCTTTACTAAATTGTTTATTATCTTGTCCATATGTCAACCGTATCATATCTTCATGGAAAGTAACTTCAATTGACATAACTCTTTTGAACGGAACGAGAACAGTATTATAAAAACTATCAAAATCTTTAATAGTTTCATTCAAATATATTTCAGTTTCTAAACCGAAACTTGATTTGATTAATTCTTCTGCTGCAGCTAATGAATTTTCATTATTTCCTCTAATTTCTAATAAATATCCTTCCTTAGGTTCTTCGAATGGAAACATAATATATCCATTCATTGTTTTTTCTATTTGGCTTATAACGTTTGAACCATTTGATAATATATAACGGTATTGTCCTGGAGTAAACTTTACTAAAGTCTTACATTGTAAAGAACCATAATTATGAGCTAATGTATTTAATTCTTTCTTGGCCATTTTAATCCCCATTTCATTTTTAGTTGGACATCTTATTATGACGTTATCATATCTTATGTGAGAGAACTCATTTTGTGGTAATAGGAAACTATTTGAAAACTGTATGAAAACGTTATGTTTCCTCATTGTTGTTTGGATTACAGAACCTCCTGATCCAATTACTGGACGATGATAAACTTCTGGAATGAAAAATGATTCTTCAGCAGGAAGTTCATCTATGAATTGAAGAAAAGCACTTAAAAATTCTGGATAAGTATTAGCAATTAAACTTAAAAACATGTTTTCATCATTTTCATACATTTCTAGACTAATTAGGCATTCTGATACTTCCATGATTCTAGTTAATTTACCATTTTTCTTACCAGAAATAAATTCTTCATAATCAGGATGAATTTCAAAAAATGCTTTCAATTGTTTAGTTGCCTTTAAAATCGCTTCATTACTAAATAATGATGATAGATAATGAGAGATATTACTTTTCTTATCGAACGGTTCATTGTCATACATGTGGTTTGTATGTTTTCCTACAATGACTATTTGATTTGTATTTTCTAATGATTGCATTGCTATAATTTGCTTTTTATCCGATACATCTAATATATTCTTAATATTTTCATTTGTAAAATGGAAAGAATCATCCATTATTAATTGAATCTCTACTATGTTGTGTAAAATTTTTGCAGTGAAAACTTTTGTTATAATCTCCAATAATTCTAAAGAAGATGCTTGGAACTCTATTGAATATTTTGTTACTTTAATAAAAGAATGATATTTTATCATTAATTTTATTATCTCTTGTTGACAAAATTTTCTAATAAATAATAATTTTGCAGGGGATACACTTGAAAATTTTCTATAAAACATGTTGTCTTTTGCTTTTTTAATGTATTCAGACATAACAAATTTTGCATCTGATATTAAACTTCTGTTACCACCAGAGAAAAAAATTTGAGGTTGAGCTTTTAAATCTTCATTAAATGATAGCAATGACGGTAGATGGATATCAGCTTTGTATGTTGTTGACATGTGTTTAACGTTAACCATATCAACCCCTATACATACAGGTAATAAAGAGTATGATGGTATGTCCAAATATTCGACAAAGATTGGTTTATTTAATTTTGAATTCGTAAATAGTTTCAAAACTGTCACTAGATGAGTCTCGCAACATTTAACATGCGATTCTAAACCAACCATATGAACATAAAATGAATAACTTGGATCTTGAGTATTAAATCTACAATAAGTTGGATCCTTAGTAATAATTAAATCTAATTGAAATTCTACAGACAATTTTAATATATCTTTAGATAATTCATTTTTAATTAAACTTAAAATAGACTCATCGCCAATATTTTCCATGGATACAGGCACTGTAACACAGATTGTTGGTTCTAAATATCCATTGGAATAAATACCTGTTATATCAATAATATTACAATCATTTTTAGTCAATACATTGAGATCGATCAATTCTTCATCTATATCCATAGGTAAGGACAAAATGGCTTGTTGTGTAGTGGGAAGATTCAATCTTACAGAATGATCAGTAGTCCATGATCTGTTGGTTTCATATATTGCATTTGGTACTTTACAAATAGCAGAAGTTGAAAACGGTGAGATTAATTTAAAATTCATTTTCATTTATATCTGTATGTAATTTAAAACAATGAAAGCAAAAAAATAAAAAATTAAAACTCACAAACTGTTATCAATGGTTAAGAAGAACTCAATTGCTCAATTATATATATCCAATATCTGTAAATTTATATATAAAGGCTCCATAAAACTCTCTTTAATTGACCAACTGTATGTAATTGTTATTGTAGTGGTCTTGGTCGTTATCCTATTGTTGTGCTTCTTGGGATAATAACAGATTTTTGTGGTATA